CTTTTTTTTTCAGCTTTAATTGAGTTTATTGGTACATTTTAGGTATACAGTACAGTTACATTCATTGTTGGGATCTTGTACCTCTACATGACAAGTCTTGGTTCTCATATTTTCCCCTTACCCCTGCCTTCCCTTTACCCCCTCCTCCCCTCCCCATCTACAACCACTTTATTTCCATCTTTTCATTATCTCACATTTTTTTCTTTTCCCTTCCCCTGCCCATCACCCCTTCCCTACACCTTTAGCTCCTTTCTTCCCATTTTCCAATGTCAGTAATCTTACTAGGATCTTCTGTATTATTGCAGATTATTCACACCAGAGAAAATATTCGGTATTTACACATGTGCGCCTTATTTATTTCACTTAGGAGTATATCTTCACTATGTATCCATTTTCCTATGAATGAATCTATTTTTTCATTCTTTATGGCTGAGTAATATTCCATTTTATAGAAAAACCACATATTCTTTATCCAGTTTCCAACTGATGGGCAAATAGGCTGTTTCCAAGTTTTAGCTATTACAAACTGTGCCGCTATAAAAATGGGTGTGCATACTTCTCTGTGATATGATTCTTTTAGTTCTTTTGGAAAGATACCCAGCAGAGGGATGGCTGGGTCAAATGGAACCTCCAGTCCAAGCTCTTTGAGGTATCTCCATATCGATTTCCATAGTGGCTGCACCAGTCTGCACTCCCACCAACAATGGAGAAGGGTTCCCTTCTCCCCACAACCCCGCCAACATTTGTTATTGTGTGATTTCTAGATAGCAGCCATTCTTTGTGGGGTGAGGTGGAATCTCAGTGTTGTTTTCATCTGCATTTCTCAAATGACCAGTGATGTGGAACATTTTTTCATATATTTACTTGCTGCTTTTACTTCTTTGTCTGAGAAATGTCTGTTCATTTTGGATGTCCATTTTTGAATGGGGTCTTTATATTTGGGGGGCTGATTGTTTCGAGTTCTTTATATATTCTTCATAATAGTCCTTTGTGTGAGGAACAGCTGGTAAAAATTTTTTCCCACATTGTAGGTTGTCTCTTAGTTCTGTTGATGGTTTCTTTTGAAGTACAGAAGCTTTTTAATAAGATGAGATCCCAGTTGTTGATTCTATCTGCTAGTTCCCATGCTACTGAGGATTTGTTCATAAAATCTTTTCCTATACCAATGTCTTCCAGAGTTCTGCCTAACTTACCTTCCAGCAAGTTTAATGTGAAACTGGTTTTCTTAAACCACTTGAAGGAGGTAGTTTTTTGTTGTTGTTTTTGTTTTGTTTCGTTGGTTTTTTTTTTTTGAAAGGAGGTGGTTGCAAGGACAGAATTTTTAACTTCATAGTTTAAAACATTGGTTTTTACTGTGCAGTATTTAAAAAAAACTAAGTTGGTTTATTTTTGGAGATTCCTCAGTCTGCCATTTTTATCTGGATCTGTTCTTTCCTTTGTCCCTATAGTCTTTATTCTGCTCAATATTGGTCCCATGCCTAGCAGTTTGTCCTCAGCGTGGGTCCCTTTCCTGGAAGGAAGCCTAGTAGGTTAACTTTCAGAGTTCCTACAGCTGTATTAACCCAAACCCTCAGCACTGTACCATAAGCCCTTGCACTCTTAGACTTTTGGAGAAGGAAAATATCCCTTCTATTTCAGCTGCCATCTTTAAGCTGACCGGCTGGACCTTCCGGTGAGCACATTTTGCCTATTTTGAAATTCTCCAGATGCCTCACTGATACCCTTTGCTGATACCACAAATGTCTTATGACAGTTACTGCCTTGCTAGTACCACTTGCTTCTATTTTGGAAATCATGGGGCTATCACTTCCTTTAGATTTTTTGTTAATGCTGCCCTTGGGTTTTTGTTTTTCATATAGCTGTTTTGTGTTTTCATAGAGGGACTGAAAAAATACTGCTACTGTCATCTTCCCAGAATTCTAAAAGATTTTTAAAATTATTTAATAGTTATCATAAAAACCATACACTTAGTTAAAGGCACAGTTTTGTAGGCTTCATGTATATTTCTAACCTTCTGTGGCTACTTTTACCTGGAGTATTTTAACAGCCCCACAACCAATCTCCCAGATTCTACCATGCTGTACCACGACAGTGGGGAAAGTATTATTGGGAAATATAAGTCGTACCACGCTCATCTCAGAACACTGAAAAGTATTTTTGACTTCCGTGGCCCATGCGATCTGGCCTGTACCTTCCCTGTGACCCCTCTCCCACCGAACCAGGCTGCTTCAGCTGCACTGGCCTCAGACACCACACAGGCTCTTGCCTCCCTGCATTGACATGCTAAAATCTCTGCCTGAAAAGCTTTTTCTGATTTCTACTTGGCTTGCTCCCTCACTCTTTGGCCTCTGCTGAATGTCATCTAAACACAAAGGCCTCCACTGGCCACATCTAACTCCATTAAGAGACAGAACCCTCTTTCTCACCCCATGCTTAACTTTATTCACAACACTTGTTACCATCTGACAGCACATCTTAATTTTTTAATATCTTTCAACCCAGAATAAAATGCTGTAAAAGTAGGAACTTCATCTTTTTAATGTCCCAATTAATGTCTGGGACAAAGTCAGCATTCCATGCAATTTGTTAAGTGACTGTAGGAGCGGCTAAATTAATACATAATATATTTAGCACATAATAGGCATGGAAGTATTAGCTCTTTTTTTCTCGTCAAGGAAAATGATGTGATCTTTATTTCGCATGATAGAAGAATCAACAATGGAAACGTGTAGTCAGGAAAAAAGGGAAGCAGGTCAAAATAGTGACAGAAAAAAAGAGGGTAGTCAATTATATCATAGAGTAGTCAAAGGGATCAGGATCTGAGAAAAGGCTGCAAGACTAGTGTTATGGACTCAACTATGTCTTGCCAAAATACATTGAAACTCTAATGTCCAACATGACTTTATTCGGAGACGGTAGGAGGTAATTAAGATTAAATAAAGTTGTCTTAATCTGATAGGAATATTGTCCCTACAAGAAGAGACTTCAGAGAGCTCACATTTCATCTCCCCCCCCCATGTAAAGACATAGCAAGAAGAAGGCAGCCACCAGCAAACCAGGCACAAACCATCAAAATCCTCCCTTTCCTGAACCTTGTCTTGGACTCCCCAGGCTCCAGAACTATAGAGATACATTTTTGCTGTTTAAACTACCAGTCTGTAGTATTTTGTTAGGGTAGTCAAAGCAGATTAATCCAGTAGACACCCAGAAATTTTCATGAAATTTAGTGTTGTCACTAACAAATCCAGAAAGCAAAGCTTTTTCTGCTTTTCAATTATATATGATCACATATGTATAGAATTGTAGAGGAGAAAACCATTACAGCAAAAGCCAAATCACAGAATGACATAAAGCATAAAGAAAAATCCACAAAAGAGCCCAGGATCTACCTAAGCGACACAGCACCTGGCCTGGCAAGCACTAGGTCCCGAGTTCAATTCCTGGTCCAAAAAAAAGGAAGATCCACAAAGTACTTGAAGAGTACTCGTGGGGAAAACTTCCATTTAATGTAGAGAAAGAACATAAAAAACGCCCTCACAACATATATAACCCAAGGGGACCCACGTTAAAGTGCAATTGAGCAAAATGGAGTTTTGCTTTGTTCAATCAAGTAGGCCAGAGAGATCAGCAGAGTTCTAAAGTCAGAAAAAGTGCACATTCCGAATCTTCACTTTAATTTTTTCATGTTAGCCATGTTCGCAGCACTTGTCAGTACATTTGTGATTTGCAAGGCCACACCAGGGTTCCCTTGTGATAGTAATCATGAAGCGCTGGGTTGGGGTTTTACACTTCATAGAGTCCAGTAAATAATAAGAACCTACTCCCAACTAACTGACTCAACAAATGTAACAACGCTAGCTTCCTCCCACCAAAGGCTGCTTGGGATCAGAAATAAGGTATGCGTTTAGAAATTCCCTGAATTCGTCACGGTGAAGTTCCTCTGTTCTTTGCAACTAAAGAGCAGATCTTCTGTTCCACAGCCTACTTAATCCCATCCCCAACCCCTAACCCCCACGCCCGCATTGTTGGGATCTTACTCTTGCTGGGCTTTTGATCATTTTTCTTCTAATTAACATCTTTATACAAGAAGATGGGCAAGAAAGGAAAGCAACTTGCTTATTATCTTTTCCGCATTAAAGTTTAACAAGAAGGGTAGACATTAAAGAACCAAATTAAGTCTGGATCGCCTGCCAACGTCACCTGTCCAGTCTCTACAGCACATGCAACTTCTCAGCGTCCTATGGAAAGCAAGGGTCGTTTTGACTGGTAGGGGAACATCACTGTCTAAAAGTTTTGCGCACAGACAACAGACGGTATGACTGAAGAAAATCCTTCCCACGTGTGGGAACTTAATCACGGCCAGTAGGCCCGCTATGAACGCTTGAACTTGGTAGCTTTTGGTGGCATCGGAGTCGGTTCCCCACAGTGCGCAGGGTAAATGTCCGACCTCGGGGTACCAGAGTCCCCTTCCCTCGTCCTGGGCTCCCCCCGCCCCGACTTCAAAACAGTGCTTGCCCGGGCTGAATGATTAAGGAGCAGCAAAGGAGCTGTCCCACGAAAGGGAGGGAGGCCTGGGAGGAGACGCTAGGCCGCCGCGGTGGCCTCCGCTGGCCGCCTGACTGCCGCGAGCCGCCGTAGGTCCCCGCCGGGCCACCGTGAACCCTACGGGCCGCCGTAGTGGCGCCCTCCCGAGGTCGCGCTCTTAAAATGGCTACCCAGCCCCACTTCTCTAGGTGCCCTCTCTGAGGGCTCGGCAGAGGCGTTTGTCTCAGCCCTGGCGTTTTAGTGCCAGCTGGGTCTAGGGTTTGGGAGC